AAAACTTTAACACCTCAGAAGAGCTCGATTAAGAACTTCGACTGTAGAGGTGTTTAGGGTTACAAAACAGTAATAATGATAATCAAGATCGTATCTAATGCATACATGCATGCACTATTTATAGTTTAACCCTACTAGATAATCACGGATGGACAGGCCCAATCCGGATATACAAAACAAGCCCATGACGCAACACAATAAGACCCAACAAAACCCATACATGATGAGAAAATTGATCTAGAAACAAGACATAATATTTAAAACTAGAATTATTAAGAATAAGAGAAATCTAAACAACATAATGTACTATTTCAAAAGCAACAAATGTAATGGAAGTTGATAATTGATAATTGAAACGAAAAACAAACATGCTTGCCTAACTAACATAAGTGACATAAACCACTACTTTTGTTGTCTTTAGATGGAATTAAATTGTGAGAAAATAAATTATTTAAAGCGTTTTGACCGGGATGACCAAGACGTTGATGCCAAATGGTAGAGTTGACTGAGACAAAATCCAGTGGTGTAAAAAATGTGATAGGGTACAAACCACTAGTGCCATCACATCGGGGGAATATTTTATTGGTTTGAATATCCTTCACAGAAAACCCATAAGCATCAAATTTAATAGAACATTGGTTACCATGAGTAAACTTACAAACATAAATCATTTTTTTATAATTTTGGGTGTGATAAGAACAGTTTTGAGGATAAGAAGGTGATATGGGTATAGATTAGATAAAAATGTGTGTCCTTAATTACTTAAAAGAATTTTAGTTGCATTACCAACCAAAACCAAAGGAATACTAGAGATTTTATTGCTAACAAAATGAAGTGTACATATGTTGGAATGAATATGTGATGAGGCACCGACGTCCATTACCGAACCGTCTTGACATGGATCATTAAGAGACATGACATTGAACATTTCTAGAAGAGCTATAGGTTGAGGTGCACTCGAATTTACTGAAGTCTTGAACTAACCCCTATGGAGTTGGAGTACCGCTAAGCCGATGAGCAGAATAAGCCTGATGATCATGTTGGGCCGATGTAACATCCCCCTCTTGTACGTATCATAATATTGTCCGCTTTAGGATCTTGCCGTGAAAACTTCCCCGGGGTCACCCATCCCTGAATTGTTCTCACCCGAGCACACTTAACTGAAGAGTTTTTATGGGATCTGCTGCCCTCAGGGCTGTAAAACGCATTGTGACAGGGAAGGTAGCCATACCCCTTTAAGGAATGTTTCGTTCTCCTTCCCAGACGATGTAGGATCAGGTGCAAACCACCTTCACCTCCCATTATAGGGTTCGACGTCCCGTTGAACACATCAACTCGTGCCCCAACTCTAATACCAGAAGGGGATATTACAACTGACCACCTTTGTTAGGTCTATGGGCGAAGCTTATGCTGGGACGATGCAACCCACTATTTGTAACGTCCCAAAAATTATAAAGAGATTCTTCATTTGTAAACAGATTAATTGATTAAATCCTAGAACTTAAAAAGACAATAAGTGACATTCATTTGTTTGAAACCATAATGTTATCAGAGATGAATTACACAACAATGGAAATCATTATCTTCGATGCGTGTGTATAGTCTCATCGAGCTCTTCTCACAACCAACCTGCAAATTTTTTTTATCTACAGTTGTAAGCATAAAGCTTAGTGAATTCCCCAATATACCACATACCAAGTTCCCCAGTGTACCACATATTCCATCATATATACAATTCATCCACACAAAATCCTAGGGTCTAAAGCTGACCTACCTTCTCTCCTTATCACAAGCGTGCATCATACATAATGGGCCCAAACCAAACATATATAACGGGCCCAACCCAAAGAGTATAACATGCCTAACCCTAACTTATATAACAGGCCCTGCCCACATACATAACAGCCCTTCCCAAAGAGTATAATAGGCCCAACCCTAACTCATATAATGGGCCCATCCCAACGTACATAACAAGTCAATGTCAGGGGTCAGATCATGGTAAAATAAAGTCATATGTGGTCAGAGATCAGATAGACAGTCAAACTGGTGGTCCATCCGAAAGCAATAAATCAAACAAGAACCATACAATAAGGCTTTAGACCAAAATTTCTCAGGCCATCCAACTTAACCACCTACAACCGTTATAAACATTAACCTAACCAACCATGACACCTAACAATATCATATAGTCCACATGCAAGACCCTACCGTTCTAGCACACGATGACACTGAATGTCCTACACTTCTCAAACCAACAATATCATATAATCAACAGGTAAGACCCTACCGGTATAATATACCATGACACCAAGTGTCCGAAACTGCACATGCATAAGAAGGAGTTATCATTTTCAAATAGCATACTCGTACCCTAACAATACCTCTATCATATCATGCAAAGGATATTCAATGTCATATGTGGCATAATAAGAAACTATCCTGAATCGCAGAACCGGGGAAGCACAACAACATTCTCACTCATTGAACTTATCAATCCCGTGAACCGACTATCACCAAATAAGGATCTTTCCTCAATCAACAACCCAAATCCTTAAAGTTCGACCCAAGGTCAAACTGGTCAAAAGTCAACGATCGCCACGTTGTGGGCATGTCATGACAAAACAGTCGACATGCAAGATACCACCACGTTCTGGGCCTTCCTTGGCCACGTCGTGGTTTCAGGAAAATTGGTCTTTTATTTATTAAGGGCTTAATCCCTACAGATCTAATCCCAAAATTTCAGATCTGGTCCTATTCAATGACTTAATAGATAAAGTTTCCAATTTTATCCATTAGAAACTCATCCCATAGAAAGATCTACAACCCTAACTCCATTAAGCCCTCAAAATGACAATAACTAGTGCATGGTTCAAAAGGAACCTCAATGTAACACTTTTTCCACCAAGCCAAGCCTATATATGGTCACCAAGCAAGTCTAAGGTTCTGAAGTTGCCCAAAACTCCAAGAACATCCCTCCAAAGGACTTTAAAGCATGAAATGAGAAACAAGAATGATAAATATGGATGCTTTATGCATTCCAAAGCTGCACAAGAGGCAGGAGATGCAATATCTGAAGTAGATATACCCTTTCAACCAACAAGCACACTACCTTCTTTTCCAAAGATGTACTTCAAGGCCTCAAACATCAAAAAAATCACATGAACATCAAGAACAGTCACTTAGGGGCTAGAGTTTCTTTGTTAGGAGAGTGGAGGCTAAAGAGAATGACCTAAACCATGAATTAGTGCCTTTAAATATGGAGAAAACCCTAAACTTCATGGGCTTGGACCACAACATCCTCCACATCGTGGCCTCCCCCTTTCCACATCGTGGCCTCTCCCTTTATACATACATCTTCCTGATCTGTTGCATATCATATTGCTTACTACTCATAAAATATACTTGGAAACTATTTTTCTCAAATATGTATTGTGGTTTTGAAATCAAGTAGATATTTTGGTTAAATGATATAATGATCGAGTGTTGATTTTGGGAATTTGAAGAGGGTATTTATATAATGTGGTGGTGGGACTGTACTAATCCATCAAGAATGACATGAATTTTTTTTCTTAAAAAAATAGTTCTTTTCCTTTACAATTGTGGCACTTAGAGTTGAAAATTAGGGTGGGTTTGTAGAAAAACCGATTTCAAAACATTGTCATTACTTTTGCCACTTTCTCTTTCCTTCATGCTTTATTCTTGAATTTAAAAGAAAAAAAATATCCTTATCAATCGGTCCTAAGAATGGTGATGTCATGACTTAAACTTGAAGTTAAGAGCTTACTAATGGATTTTCAACTCCTTCAAATTTGAAGCTTGAAATCTAACTAAAAGGTTTTTTTTGTTGTTTTTATTTTGTTCAGGGTCAGGTCGCCAATATCATATATTCCTCATGTATTGGGGTTGTTTTGGTGCAAAATGGCCTCAAATGACACAACACTTAACAATGCACCTCCTATGAAAGCTACATCACATGGGGTATTTCAAGGCGAAAATCCTCTTAACGCTGCACTCCCTCTTGTCATTTTACAAATATGCCTCGTCCTCACACTCACTCGAGTCCTTGCTTACCTTCTTAAGCCATTAAGACAGCCTCGAGTCGTGGCAGAAATTGTTGTAAGTTACTTAATCCCCTTATTTTCATTTTCATCCATTAGAAATTTTAATATATACATAAAGAATTAGTTTCAAGCCAATACACTAGCAATTTTGATTCCAGTTTAGTATTGGGCTACTTGTAGGCATTGGGCCTCATGTCAGCCACCTAATAAGTCATTGTTGTCTTGCATTATACGACATAAGCCATCTCGAGGGCTATTGAAATAGCAACCCTTTTGTAGAAAAGTTTAATAATAATATTTTATAGCCACCTAAGAGGCTCTTATGTACTTGTACTAGTACAATGTGTACTAAGTATAGTGAGGACATTTTGAAATAATAACTCTTTTGCATAAAAGTTTATTATATTATTACAGGGGGGAGTTTTACTCGGACCTTCGGGTCTAGGCCATAACAAAGCATATCTTCATACAATGTTTCCTCAAAGGAGTCTTACAGTATTGGACACGCTTGCAAATCTTGGACTTTGTTTCTTCCTCTTCCTTGTTGGCCTAGAGCTTGATTTAAACTCCTTACGTAAAACTGGTAAAAAAGCATTATGCATAGCCATCGGTGGAATAGGCCTTCCGTTCATTTTAGGTACTGGAGTTTCATTCATTCTCCAAGAAAACGTCTCTGGGGGTGTTCACGAAGGCCCATTTATCGTCTTCATGGGTGTAGCCATGTCAATTACAGCTTTCCCTGTACTTGCACGTATTTTAGCTGAACTCAAGCTCTTAACTACCGAAGTCGGTAAAATGGCCATGTCAGCAGCCGCAGTTAATGACATAGTGGCATGGATTCTTCTTGCACTTGCGGTTGCCCTTTCGGGTTCAGGGCGTTCCCCACTTATAGCTCTATGGGTTTTCTTGTGTGCATCAGGTTTTGTTGTTTTGTGTTCTTTTTTGGTGCCCCCGATTTTCAAATGGATGTCCCAAAGATGCCCTGATGGTGAACCCGTTGATGAGTTGTACGTTTGTGTGACTTTAGGTGGTGTTTTAGCTGCGAGTTTTGTGACAGATGCTATTGGGATTCATGCACTTTTTGGGGCTTTTGTGGTTGGGGTTTTAATACCAAAAGAAGGTGCATTTGCCGTCGCATTAGTGGAAAAGGTTGAGGATCTCGTGTCGGGGTTGTTTTTACCGCTATATTTCGCTTCGAGTGGTCTGAAGACGAATATGGGGTCAATTAAAGGGGCAAGGTCTTGGGGATTACTTGTTTTGGTTATTTTTACAGCGTGTTTTGGTAAGATTGCGGGTTCGGTTGGGGTTTCTCTTCTTTGTAGGATTCCGTGGATGGACGCTCTTGCAATCGGACTTTTAATGAATACAAAAGGTTTGGTTGAAATTATTGTGCTCAACATTGGGAAAGATAGAGGGGTATGTTTTTCTTAGATCATGTTTTTTCAAGTCTTTCGAATAATAATTAAAAAGTCTTCTGAATAATAAGTAAAAAATATTTAAGAAAATGATGGTATGTTTGAAAAAAATCAAAAGAGAGCAGTACAAGCCCAATCATCAAAATGCCCAATCGTGGAAGGTTCTAAAACAAATCGGTTTATCACCTAATACACATTATTTCATGAAATATTTTTTGTAAAGTTGCTTTTGTGACTGTCCCCACTAAATAATATTATTTAAAAACTATTTTAAATAATATTTATTTTACGAATTGACATCATTTTTTATAAAATAATGATGTTCAGTGAAAAAAAGAAAAAAATTAAAAATATTTTTCAAATAAGGACCATTGAAAAATCTATTTTGCTAAATATACAGTTATTTTGTCATAAATGTTTAAAGGTTGATTATTTTACGATGTGATCATTTCATTGTTGTTCATTTTTGTGATTAGCTCAAAGCTAAATTAAATAAATTTGTAAAAAGTTAAGACTAAGTTGGGAATTTTGTATATTTTTCTTTATTAAGTTGTTTTTTCTACATTGTATCAAAACAAATCGCTCATTATTCTTTGTACGTATGTATCTTATATCTGTATCTAAACTCATTCTTTGATAATTTCAGGTTTTGAACGATGAAACATTCGCGATATTAGTTCTAATGGCACTATTAACAACATTTATCACAACCCCTTTAGTTGTTGCCTTTTATAGACCTGCTAAAACACAACCAACCACCGAATACAAACATCGAACTTTACACCGCAGAGGTTCTTCCACTTCTCCATTCCGTATGTTATTTTGCTTCCATAGTGTACGAAACATACCAACAATGGTAAATTTAATCGAAGCTTTACGTGGGACCGGCAAAAAAGAGGTTCTTTTGGTCCATGCAATGCACCTCATGGAGCTATCAGAGAGGTCTTCGGCTATACTTATGGTTCATAAAGCGAGAAAAAACGGGCTCCCATTTTGGAAAAAGGATCAGAATACTGGATCAGATCAAGTTGTGGTGGCATTCGAGGCTTTTCAACATTTGAGTAAGGTGGCAATTTGGCCCACGACTGCTATATCGGCGGTTTTGAGTATGCATGAGGATGTTATTAGTGGGGCCGAAAGGAATCGGGCAGCTATGATTATTTTACCGTTTCATAAGCATATTAGGGTCGATGGGCAACTTGAAACCACTCGAGTTGAATATAGGTAATCACTATCTTCAATTATCATCCTCATGTTTCATAAACACTTTGACCCAAAAACCTAATCCAAGATATATTTTATAAGTGCAAGTAGTGGTGCTCACAAGCCGAGACATAAAAGTATTGGTCTAGATCAGATCCGTTAATTTGCTCTTTTTTGGTTTGATCCAAATTCTTTTAAACAAATATTATTAAATTATAAACATTATATGTTACATACTTTATCAATTATTATTAAAAACGGATAAAATGCAGTGATTACATTATTAAGTTATAAATATTGTATAAATTATTAAATTTTACAAAATGCAAAAGTTATGTTATAAATTTATAAATGTTCCAAATTACAAAAGTTACAAAAACACATCTATATTTACTATTAGAAACTTACAAAAAAAAACTTCGATAAAAATAAAAATAAGAAAAACGAAACATATACAATATTATAAGTTTACAAATATAATAATAAATAATTCAAAATTTTCCAAACAAAACATTCTATATCTAACGAGTCCGAAAAGCTCTGGCTCAACACTCAACACCCAATAGGTCTAAAACCAGTCCACATTGCTCAATTCCGGAACAAAGAGCCGCTTTGAGAGCTTCTCTGACCCGGGCCCAAATTATGGCCCGGTCCGATATGATTTGATTTCTTTTAATACACATTACTAATTTATAGTTTTATACCCATTATAGTCTATAAATAATAAGTTCTAACATTATTTATAAGCTATTATAAAAGAAATAATAAGTTCTAAACATTATATATAAACTATTATTATAAAAGAATGGATAAACTCTAAAACTTACATTATAAATCTATAAAACATTATAACCTACAAAAAATTATACGCATCATTTGTATTTATCATTATAACTTTACAAACGGATCCTTATATACTCAGAAAACTTAAATGAAAAACAAAGAACTATATAAATTTATAACAAGTAAAATTTATTAAATTTACCCTTACTATCTAACAATCTGGTTCATTTGTGATTTCAGACATGTTAACCGCAAGGTTTTAGAGTACGCTCCATGTTCAGTCGGCATCTTAGTAGACCGTGGTTTCGGTGGGACCTCCCACATTGCCGCCAGCAGTGTCAACTCAGTAGTAACAGTTTTATTCTTCGGTGGCAATGACGACCACGAAGCATTAGCCTACGGGGGTCGTATGGCAGAACACCCCGGAATCAACCTCAATGTAGTCCGATTCCTCCTCAATCCCGCCGGAACCACCACTCCGGGATCCATCACCATCGACATTAAAGAATCTGAGACTTCGGAATCCAATTCCATTGATGATGAAGTGATGGCGGAATTCAAACAGAAGTTTGTCTTGAAATACAACACGATGAAATATGATGAGAGAGCGGTGGCGGATGCCGCCGAGACGGCGGAGGTGATTCGGGAATATGGTCGGAGCAATTTGTTTCTGGTGGGGCGGATGCCGGAGGGGGAGGTGGTGGGGTTGTTGAAGAAGGAAAGTGAGTGCCCGGAGATGGGACCCGTCGGAAATTTGTTGATTTCTCCGGCTTTGACTATGGCGGCATCGGTGTTGGTGGTGCAGCAATATCATAGTCAATTGTCGTTACATTCTTTGGCTTCTTTGAAGGAAGATGAAATGAGTGATGATGGTGGATGATTGGTATCAAGTTTTTAAATGATATCTCGTATTTCTCCCTTTGATTTTTGATGTTCAAATGTATAGAATTTTTTATGTATAATAGCAAAATATGATCATCAAGGAATCGAATCAATGTAAAATTGTACAAAATTGTACAGGATGAATACAAATATGAATACGAATGTGAATTCCAAACGGGGTTTTTGAAACCCGAAATTTTGTTAACTTTGTTAGCATGATAAGTTTTAGACTGCATAAAAAAAACGAGTTTTAAACATATATTTATTTGTTTTGGCAAAATGTTTTTTTCAGTAATTCTTGAACGGGTTAGCCCACACCACGTTTCTTCATATGCTTCTTTCAGGCTGCCATGCTTCTTCTAGGGCCGTATAAGTGGGGTGGGTTAATTTCTAGGCCTATTTTCTATATATCTATTTATATTATTGTAACAAAAAAAATGTTTGGTATTAAGTCGTCATAGGCAACAACAAAAAAGCAAAAACGATGTTGGAGCCAAAATTGGTATAGAAAGACAAGAAATTTCAACGAATTCTTCAAGAATCTAAGCAATTAATTAATTTTTACTTAAAAAAATTAATCTTAAGGGTCTTATTTATTTATTTATTTATTTTTGCTCGGGACCTCAAATCGGTTTGAATTGCCCAGGCTTCTCCCACCGTGACATATAGATTTGGTACATAATAGAAGATGTTATATGTCTTATATGAGAGTCTTGTTACCCGCAAAAACCAATCCACATTGAATGGAAACTTTCATGCTAAAACTCCTTGACCCTTGAACCGTTAATCATTTATGCAAACGTGCTCCCTAGGACCCTATAGTTCAATGAAATTTTGAGTTTCAGTCCAAGTTTTCTTTTTCTTGCCTATCCGGCCAAGTTTCAACACACACACAATATATATATATATATATATATATATATATATATATATATATATATATATACACACACACACACACACACACACACACACACACACACACACACGAAATAGCGACCATTAATGGTGACACGTTGCCCTAAAGGGTCGCTGCTTCTGGTCCATCAGATATCGCCACTATTGCTCATGTCACCACTAATAATCCCGTCGCCACTAATAATGTTTTTTTGTTCTTTTGAAACTGCACCTTCCAGATAAAGAAAAAACTGCTACAAAAATATAAAACTGTTACTGAATATTAATTGTAGAAAAATAGATCCAACATTAAAAATTTAATAACACGACATCCCAAAAAATTAATTAAAAAATTAAGTGCAAAATATGTTATAATTCTAAAAAAAATATACATATACATAAATCCTAAAACTAGCTAGACATGTCATCATCGCTCCTCTCGTTCCCTCTTGTATCATTACGTGTTGGCGACGATCAAAACTATGATTCAAGTGGCGTAGTCACATCAGGTGGGCAATCATTGCTAGAAGATTATTCAACTACAAAATAAACAACATAAACTTATAAGTTAAACCAACAAATTACCAAAATCTAAGCAAAGTACAAATTATATTACCAACATCTCAAACTACAAAACTAATAATTACCAAACTATAAATTATCAACATATAACCAAACCAAAAATTACCAACATATCAAACTATAACCAAACTACAAATTACCAACATATCAAACTATAATCAAACTATCAATTACCAACATATCAAAATATTTCCAAACTAACAATTACCAAACT